AGCGCTAATGACTGGTGTTGTAGAAGAGAAGGGAAGCTTGCTGGCCCCGAAGTCCTCGTGGAGGGAAGAAAGGATGGAGAGCCTCCGGGCTACGGATGGAGCCCTGCCTTAGATAAGAGCAGAGATAGTCCCCCTGCTTCTTCCTTCTTTTCCTCATCTCTCTGATTCTTGCAGGGACCTTATTTGCCATCTACCTGCCTCTTCTCGTGACCCTCTTATGTTGCCTAAATCCTTTGGTCTCCTGACGTCCACTTAGCCCTTCCTTCCTAAAAAAAAGAAGAAAATATACCCATAACATTCTCCACTGTAAAATGAGGCTAAAATATCTGGTCTGCCTATTACCAGTTTCGTTGTATGGGTCAAACAAGATTGTGTGCGGAATAACCCTACCAATCCTTAAGCTCCATTTTAAGATGGAAGAAACAAATCATCGTCAAAATTGCAACAGCGTTAGCCAGTCTTCTCAGCAAGCCCATGGTGTATACCCGGCCTTGCCTTTTCCTTTTACCTGTTCCATATTGAATGACCTAATGCCTAAGTGTTACCTCACCTGCTGAGAGAACTCAGAGCCCAAGAGTCTGCTCTTCTGGCCAGTTGTTAAATTGGTCCCTCAGTACGTGAAGCTTGGAGGTGGTTTGTCGAAAACTTGAGTTAGAATGAGAGCGAATAGCGCCACCTGCTGGAACTGAAAAGGGACGGGGGGCGGGCCCCAGAGCTGGGCGTGGTTTTGTCCCCTTGATGGCTCTGAGTCCCTCAGATGGAGTCGTGAACCACACTGATTCAAAGGGCCTTTCCGCCATCTCTCCTCTTTCTTGATGCCAGTATGCCACCTCGTGCATTTTCTTTTCATGTAATCTCTTTTCACCCTTTAAGGATTCGATATCTAAAATTACCAATAAGATTTAGCTGTATTTTATTAGTTCTCTTAGAATCTCTTGCAAATTACATCACAGAATGTTGCCATGCAAAGGGATCCTCGAGATTGGACACAGAAAGTCTTGGAAAACTGTAAATATAATCCTCATTTTAGACACCAGTCCATTGAGACCCAAAAGGTGAAAAGGCAGAGCTACCACCAGAGGTCGCATCTACTGATTCCCAAACCATTCCCTGTAGTGGTGAACATGCTTTCAGCTGTAATAAAAAATGGCTCAAACAATAGTCAGTGTCTCACACGAAAAGTGTTGAGTGGCTCTGGGAATAACTTAACGGTTGAATATCACCAAGGACCCAAGTTTATCCCATGGCCCTCTCTGTCTTCCTCTGCATGTCTGGTTACAAGATGGCCCCAGCAACCTTAGGAGCCACAACCTCCACCCAAGAGGAAGGAGTACAAAGAGGCTGACTGTCTCTTCTCCTCTGAGCTAAGAAATTTGTCCCAAAAGAACCCTAAAGACTCTCCTCATATCCTGTTAGGCAGGAGGGAATGATATGTCCCATCCTAAGAAGGTGACTGGTAAGGGGTGTGAGGTTAACATATTTGATTTGACAAATCCAGGTTCATGTTCTGGGTCTGGAGTATGGCCATCCATATCTGAAGCTTATGATTCTGTGGGAGTACAGAGATTTCTGGACAAAACTGGGAAAGGGAGTATGGCCATTTATTGGAGGAACATTCCCCATGGGTCTCCCCAGTTTCTGCTTGTCTTCTGAGAAAGAGGCATCAATTGCTTTGTTCAGACCTCTCCAAGGATGTGAGGGCGGCCCACAGTCTTGGAAGATGGAGGTAGATTTCTTTCCCAACCAGGATAATGAAGCTAATGTCTCTCCGCGGGGCAAAAATTGAGCTAGTTTGCTAGCTGCCCCTTTAAAAGAGTGGGGTTTCTTAAGTTCAGGTCCCTCGGCTGTGACACCAACTCCCTATAGCGTCCATCTGGGCTGCCTCACAAGGTCCCGCATAGTGGAACTTGGGCGACAAGGGAAATCCATGTGGACCTGAAGCCCACGCTGCCTGCCGTGCCGTGAATAATAATGTCTTTTGTCTCGGACCCAGGAGGCTTCTGTCTTCCGCCAGCACCTGTGAAACCATGGGAGACTACGTTGTCAGTTAGCAGTCGGGAGAAAGCTCTCGCACTTCCCAGTTATTGACGCTAATAGAAAGACAACCATCCGTGTTGGCTACGGTCTTCTTTCCAGGGAGTCACACTCAATGCATCCCATTCTGTCCTCAAATACTTATTTCTGGAAATAAGATTGCTTTCAGTATGTAAGAAATGCCCAGCCTTACCGGCAGAAACAGGGCAACTCTGCAGCCTCCGACTGGAGACCCGTATTAAGTAAGGACAGTGTCATTGGCTCTCGTGTCTTTGATGCTGCCTCCCTTTTATTTGCTCCCTGACTCTCTCTGTAATTATCTCTTTTTAAATGTCAGCTCCTCTCACCCAGAAGAGCAAGAGCAATCAGCCACAAACTGAACTTTAGAAGCTTTTAAAACACACTTGCCGTCTGATGGGGAGATGGATTCTCAAAGGCATCCCTTAGCAGAGTCGGGGAGCTGACACTGAGTGATTGACGAAAAGGAGCCCTTTCCTTTGCACTCACGCGGGACCCGCGGCCCCTTCCTCGGGAGGCAAGAGAAGGAATGTCCGAAAATGTGAATATTTCTATGCTAGAGCCTGAGTAGAGGCCCTTTACGGAGGAATCTGCTCTCAGAGGCCTTTGACCTTGACTGCCTCTTACTCTGCCTGGGGGCGGAGCTACAGCAGAATCCCAGAGACGTCTTTTCCCTCTCTGGAGCGAAGTGTTGGTGTTAAGAAGACCATTCTGAGGGTTTTGAAGGCGGGGGGGGGGCCGGAGGTTGGGGGAACCAGGTGGTGGGTATTGCAGAGGGCACGGATTGCATGGAGCACTGGGTGTGGTACAAAAACAATGAATACTGTTACGCTGAAAATAAATTTAAAAAATTAAAAAAAAAAAGAAGGAGAAGAAGACCGTGTGCACAGGAGGAAACACGGGCTCTAGTGTGCCAAGCAGAGAAAAAAATTGGGTATTTCCTACTTAACTGTGGGTACTCAGAGTTTCTCCAAATGGTGACATTTTAAGGACCTCGACAAAAACTCATCGTAGCAGGAAGAGAGGAGGGGAGGAAGTGAGAGCAGCATTCACCCTTCCAAGTCAAACCTTAGGGTTAAACTCAGTTTATCCCCAAATTCTATTTCCCTGATGGTTGTTGATGCCTTTAAAATGAAACAATCTTTCCTACTTAGCTCAGGAACCCGTGCGCTCTTGATCTTCTGACAACTTACATTTCAAAAGGCATCTGCTAAAACGTAGCACTACAGGAGCACAACAGGTTCAGTCTTAACACTGGAGGCAACTTTTCTCCACTGACTCTGCCAGAAAATAAAGGGAAAGATCGTTCAGTCTGTGAGTCGTAAGATCGTCAACCTGCCTTCTGGTCTTCCCATGGAAACCTTCGTGAAGATCACCGGCTTCCACTGAGTCACGGTGACCCCAGAAGGCATGAGCCCCAATAGAGAGGAGATGCTCTACGGAAATACGTGTAGCTTCACCACAGGTGTTAAAATTAAACTCCTCTTTCTAATGACATAAAGGATCAAAATTCCTTGGTACAATTAGGTTGATTAAATTGAGCACTGTGTCTAAAATCCCTCCAGCTTAATAAAGTTAATGCAGCTTTCAGAGGAGCCTGACCCAGAGGCAAGGAACAGTCCGGGTCCAGAGAGAATCCAGCCCACTGCGGTTTTTAAATTAGAAGTTTGATTGCTTGCGACACCGTCTCAAAATGGTACCAGTCTGAAGAAGCTGAATTTTCCATTAGCCTGGGAAAAAATGACAGATATTTAATTAAACTGCTTAGAGATTAGGCAGAAGGCTTAGTGGCTAGATAAAGGGGCTGAATCTCTTTCTAAGTGACGTTGGGAAATCCACTCTCCGGCCACGTCTTTCCTGTCCGGAAAAGCTCACCAAGCCGGAGGAGCCGGGACGCCGGCGCCGCGTTCCTGCTCAGCAGCCTCTCCTGCCAATCGCAAGGAAAAAATACACATTCAAAAAGCACGTTTATAAAGTGTTAGGTGGCCACTGAGGAAATTAAAACCTAAAATGTGAAGTAGGAAAGCTCTTTACGATGAAAGCTGCCAGAGCAAACCACCCTAATGCACTGTTCTCTTGTTGAAAGGTGATTTATTACGGACTTTGAGCAGGTCTATGGAAAAAAGAATGCTGTGTGGTCAGTGCTGGAGGGTAGGTTACCAGAGGGATCCGGCATTCCGGATGGAGAGAGGCTGAGCTGCACAGCCAGTGGTTGAGGGGAGGGCTGTTCTGCAGGAATCTTGAGGCACCTTGTGGATAGCCACCGTGGCCCAAAAGAGATGCAGGTCACCTCCATCGCCTCGACACTCTCAGCTCCCTGGCTTTCAAGAGGAACCGCAAGGACTATGTTAATAAAATAGAGTCTCCTAAGCTCTCCCAAAGCAATAGCTCTCAACTCTAGCTATATATTAATATTTTCCAAGCAGCTTTTAAAAATCACCAGTGCTCTCTGCCAGACCCACCGAACCAGAACCCCGGCAGAGGGAGCAGGACACGGGTGTTCCAGAAAGCTCTCCGGGAACAAAGAGTGACATTGTGTGTGATCACCAGCTCTGGGGCTTGGAGGCCTGACAAGCTGGGTTTACGGTCCTGGGTCCCCGACCCACTGAGCGTAAGACACGGTGCACGTGCTTAACTTCTCCAGGGCTGGGTTTGCTTATCTGGAGAGGATCCGTGATGGTAACCTCTGGACAAGGTTCTAAGGGTTGAGTAAGAAAATGAATGTATTCCCGGCCCCCGATCCACATCTATTTCTATTTCCCTCCCCTCGGAGGAAATATGGTTAAAGCGGATTGGTGTATTAGCCTTCCTCAGATGATTTTGCCATTGAACTTTGATAGCGAATGATGGGCGTAGATTCTTTCTCTCTCCCAGCTTTGTTTTTTCCTCTCGAAATCACTGCTATGAGGAAGCTACTCACGGGCCTCTTGTGCTTTCTGCTCCTGCAGCTGCCACCGAAGTGTCCTTTTCGTTTGATGTTGGAAATGGGCCGGTGGAGATTGTGGTGCGGTCGCCCTCCCCTCTAAATGACGACCAGTGGCACCGGGTCACCGCGGAGAGGAATGTCAAGCAAGCCAGCTTACAGGTGGATCGGCTGCCGCAGCAGATCCGCAAGGCACCCACAGAAGGTCACACGCGCCTGGAGCTCTACAGCCAGCTCTTTGTTGGTGAGTAATAGAAGGAAAGGCCTTTGTGACTTTCCTCTGTTGTCGTTGTCGTTGTTCTAAGATTTTATTTATTTATTGGGAGAGAGAGAGCGGGTGTGTCGGTGAGTTGGGGGAGGGACAGAGGAGAGAGAATCTCCAGCAGACTCCCTGCTGAGCGTGGAGCCCAACATGGGGACGTGGAGCTCCATCCCACAACCCTGAGACCATGACCTGAGCCAAAACCAAGAGGCGATGCTTAACCGACTCAGCCACCCAGGCTTCCTGCGCCACCCCACTGTTGGTTTTAATAACCTTGACAGTGGAAAAAAATGTAAGTCTCTGGAATGTTTTGATAGAGGTCTTTCCAAAAGTAAGAGTCTAGGCTTCGTTTAGTCTCCATCAAGACAGAATGAAACAAGGAAGATGACTCAGGAAACCTAAATCTGGCCCCGCTCTCTGCTCTCTCCAGAGCTCGAGGTCCTCAGCTGCAGGATCAGAGGGGAGGCTGGGGTACCGCGGAGGTCTCTGATCTGGGCAGTGTTAGGTCTGTGGTTTTAGAACTGTATAAAAGTCTTCAATAATTTAGGACACTTGTAACTGTGAGGAAGGAAAGGAGGGAAGGGGGGAGAAAGAGAAGGAAATGAGCTCCCCAAGTTCAGGTTTGCTTAAAATGATGAGGAGAAACCTGTTATTCCTTTCTCTGCTCATCCTCAAGCTTCTAGGCAGAGAAAGATGTGAACTCCTCCCTGCATACTGTCTTTACGTGAGAAAGAGATCAACACTGAGAAATTTAAACAGAGCAGGAGTTAAACATCCTTTGCAAGAAGTCTACCTAGCCTCACAGTTTGGTCTCTGCTTTTGACATCTTCCAGCTGAAGCTAATGTTACTTCAAATTAGTACCTGTTTCTATGATGAAATATTAAATTTTGTTTTCCAGAACACTGATGTTTTAGGGAATTGCCATTTTTCCTCTGGTGAATGACAAGAGAGCAAGTCTGAAGGACGTTCAGGCTGTGGCCACCTTAGACCCCCTCTCTGAGTTTCTGGGGATTAATTGATCAAATCAGTCAACTGTGGCCGTCCCAGACCAAGCAAAACCAGATGTGACCTGATTGTTGCTCATAGTCCTACCACCTGTCACCCCACGCTAGAGCCTCACTGAGGGTCAGCTAATTTTAACCAGGGCCAGAGCCCAACGGTGTCTTTCATAATTGTGTTGGACTGCTTTGAGAACATTAGAAATCCAAAAATTGGATGTCAGTTCCTTTGGTGCAATATGGGCAGCCTACAAACGTGTTCACTTAGTTAGCTTTGGAAGTAAGACTGACTTGTTAACGAGCCGTGTCATCAGGGGCCATGAAAGAGTCATCGATTTTGAAATAAAATACTCCTCTCGACCCCAACTAGAACCCAGCCCCTTCCAAATCCTGCCCTCACGTTGTAGTTCTCAAAATATACGCATTACTTTTTTAAATTATTTTTTTATTAATTACATATCAGGCCTGCTGATTCCTGCAGAATATTGTGAGCAAATTTCATTTTATCAGTCCGTCTTGTCCAAATTACCTAGACGAGTTTTGCTTTTCTCAACCCTATCCATCTCAAGCATGCTGATTAAATTCTACCTGGTTTTCGTCATAACAGGTGACCCTAACTGACCTGAGTTTCTTCTTTTTCTGAGCTTATCCGCGGGTAGAGATGGGCTCCAACTTTCTTCCTATCCCTTTCTTTCCACGCACTCTAGCCAGAAATTTTGGAGACCAAATAAAGTTGTAAATGGAAAGAGATAGGGAAGCATTTATTATGGTCTTGGAATTCTGATTTGTTTAAACAAGAACAACTTAGAGGAAAAGAGCAGTAGAGAGCTGAGGTCAGAATTTGACAGAACAGTGAAGAGACAGTCAGAAAAATAGCATCTCAGGAAGAAGACTGAAGGGAACTGGAGGGAATAAGCCCGGAAGAATCGAGAAGAGGAGAGCATTCCATGAAATGCTCTGTTTATTATTGCCAAGTAATATCAAGCGCCCTGTGTAAAATCAGGCTAGAAGAAATGTTCTTTGAATTTAACAATTATGAAAGCACTGGTGACCTGGGAACAAAGCTTCCGAACAGCGGGGCTGCCATGATGAGTCAGCAGCCGCTTTTCCCTTGACAAAAACAAGGAGGTCCACGTCCAAGCTTCTCATTTCCTTTTGTCTCAGAGGTGGGCATCAGATGCATCTCCCAGACACAAGCTATTGTGTACCAGCGTGAAAAAATAATTGTTCTGCAACAGACGTCCTCTCCAGGGGTGGTGGGGAGGAGGGCTTGTTTCCAGAAAGAAAATCAGTTCAGCCGCTGTGAGATCCTACAGGCAGCTATCCCAAGACTGTTCTGACTTCTGCTCTCCTAAGAAGCTCTGCCCTGACCAAGTGTCCCCACTTTTTCTCTTGAGTCTCGAGTTTCATCTAATAAAGGATCTGGGTTTGTTTGTCTTCAGAATTTCCTCCAACTTCAGCCACAGGTGCCGAGCGGTCGTCCCTCCCGCAGCGCCGTGTGGTTAACGTGGGCTTTGAATCCCGTCTCTGTCACTGAGCTGCTGAGGGACCACGGGCAGGTTATTACTCAATATTTCCATGTGAAATAGGGATACAGTTCGCACCCTCAGGGGGAATTGAATCCGTCCAGGAGAAGTGCTCTGGAAAGCCCGGTGTGGAATCAGACTCCTGAACTTTTGAGTTATTTCTTTTTCTTTGCTTTTACCTTTACTCCCTTAGCTTTCTTCCTCCATGTAACCCTCACCGCCGCCCACAGAACCTGCTTCCAGCCAGCTCCTTTCTTTGTTCCTAAAGCCCTGACCCGATCTGTGATTCTTTAACCCACACACCCTGAAGGAAATCTCCTCTGCGTAAACGTTTGCTCCTCTATATCCAGAATCGGGCTGCATGGTGGCCCCAGAGCAGGAGCAGCAAACAGGGGCTCTGGAATGTTCTCGGTCAGCCAGGAAGCCAGCAAGCGGCCGTGTGAACACATCACACGGGCGTCAGTATCACAGGTGAGACATAGGGCAGAGCTGCCCTAAGAGCTCCTTCTCCGTTCTAGAAAGGAGGGGCTTGGACTCAACCTACAGCTGAAAGGGACAGGAAGTCCTTCTTGGCTTTGCACACGGAGTGGGCTCTGAGGGAAGGCCAGGCTCGTGCCTCCTTTCTCAAAGTAACTGGAGAAACAATGAAAAGAACAGTCCCTCTCGCTCTACATCGAGAATATAATTAAAAGCTGTCATCGAAAGAGGATTAACACACAGGTGTTTCGGCAGTGACTCTCATTACTGTGAGAATAATTATTACAGCTATGATTCTGTTTTAGTGAAAAAGCAACAAACTTCAACATGAAAAAGGACGTGGGAAGAAAGAAGCAGTCGCTGATACTTATCGGCACAGTGCATGAAATCTTCTCGTGTTTTCCATCCAGCGTGAGCCACGAGTATATGATGCGCTTCTGGGTCGGCCCAGCACAGACACTTAAACCACATGGTGATCTGTAGCTTCAACCAGCCCAGGTGCTCAGACCTCCATCCCCCATGGCAGCCAAAGGGCCATATTTTTCTTAGGAGGCGGAGAATAGCAAACGTGCTCAAGGTCATTATCGAGGCATGAGCAATGCCAGGCTGGACTGAGCCAGAGTCCTCTCTGGCACGGGGACGTCCGGGGAGCTGGGAGCCCTGGCAGCTGCAGCAGCCATGTCAGGACTAGGAAGGGGCGGGGTGGCTGCTGGGCCATCAGCCCGCAGCCGGCGGCCAGCCCAGGACATGGTCCAGGAGCTGGCGAGGGTGAGCCACTGCGGAGAGCCAGGCCGGCTATTCAAGGCAGGTGGCTGCTGGAGGAGCGGGTTTGCGGCAAGCCCGGCACCGGCCAGAGCATGACACTCTGCTTGGCAGTTGTTTCAGGAGGAGGTCAGAGTTCGGGAGAGCTGGAAGCTGCTTCGGAAGGTTTGGGAAGATTCAGTCTCCTAAGTGGCACTTTGAGAACCGGCATGACAAATGTCCAGGCTCAACTCACGTGACTCTGACTTCTTCTGAAATCTCTCGGGGGTTAAAGGAGGCCATCCCTTCTGGGCAGGTTGTAGCCCAAAAGGATCTTCTGTGCTTGCGGAGAGCCTGCCTGGCTAGAGACAGGAGAAGCGGGAGCGCTGCCCTCAGGACTCAGCCAGTGGGAGCCCCAGAGCCTGCAGGCTCCCCTTCCTCCAGCGCTTTGTCAGGAAACTCCTCCTGAGCTGCCACTTGAGCTCCTGGACGAGTGGAGGTTTCTTAAATGGATTTAGAAGTGAACGAGGACAGAGCACTATGACCATTGTCTGAGCTAGGCCTTGCTAGCGGCCCCAGAAAACAGCCCAACTTCCCCAAACTCCGTGATAGAGCTTTTTGGGTAAGCTGGTCCCCACCCCCTCCGTATTCCAGAATCGTGAGTGAATCATTCCAGTGCCATCTGAACCGCTGCGTCCTTGGGAGAGCAAGGAGAAAATCAGCATTTGTGGTCTGCGAGGGAAAAATGGAATTCTAGGCAGAAAGCACACCCAAATCTGTGTATGAATAGAATGGTCCTTTTTTTTTTTTTGTATCCAAAAAGTTTAGAGTAAAAAAATGTACAGTCCAAAGAGCAGGAATGAAAACACAGAAAATGTGTTCCTTGTTCCCATTTCCTGCAAGCCTGCCTCAGTAGCAAATGTCCTGGACCAAACTTCAAGGTCAAGTGCGCCACAAGCTTCGTTCACCTCTCGCAAAGTAAATACTATTATTACTAGTTTCTTTTTTTTTTTTTTAAGATTTTATTTATTTATTTGACAGAGAGAGAGAGAGAGAGATATCACAAGTAGGGAGAGAGGCAGGCAGAGAGAGAGGGGGAAGCAGGCTCCCGGCTGAACAGAGAGCCTGATGCGGGGCTCGATCCCAGGACCCTGAGATCATGACCTGAGCTGAAGGCAGATGCTTAACCCACTGAGCCACCCAGGCACCCCTATTTTTACTAGTTTCTGCTTTACTGTC